GAGAGAGAGAGAGAGAGTCATTGGGGTTTTTGGTTTGGATTTATAAAGTATAACTTTCTCCTTCGAAGGGGGACTTGAATATTTTATAGAATGTTTTATGAATGAAGAAAAGAGAGCTTCTTCTTCCCATGACTTGATTTACAACCACCTTAGTTTCTCTATAATTTCTGGATTTATTGGTTTTAAGATCAAAAGAAGGCCGTATTTAATTTCTTGGACTCCTTTCACATCATTTGATATCAGAGTAGGGTTGGAAAAGGATCAGCTACTACAACGACTGGTTGTGGAGTTTGCAACAGTAGGAATGTCAAATATAAAAAAAGATCGACAACTTAATGGAGATTAGTGCAAAGTTGTTACAAAAAAAAGATTGCAACAACGCAAATCGAACAAGATGAGACCTTCGGTGCCGATCCATATTGTGTGATTCTTGTGGAAATCTATGTAAATCAAAGTGTGAGTCTGAGTGGGAATGACCTGATGTTATGTTTGATCGCACTTATGGGTTCGGAGCACAACGATGTCGACACATGAATGTAGAGAAAAGTTGGGTAACCAACAACCATAAAGCCAAGTGATTGATATAGGGGAGTAAACCGAAATCAATGTAGAGACGAGCAAATAAAGAATTTTACCACATTTAAATCCACCTCTGGAGCAGAATCATCTCAAACTAAGAGGTTGATACCTTCAACTCAGGGAATTGTTTCTCCTGCAGTCAAACTAGGACACAAGCAACATAGAATTATGCAAACAAAGGTATGTGACCCCTTGACCCAATAAAATCTATATTTATTATAGGAAAAGTAGATGAAATTGATGGTACAGGTTTTTACATGCCTCGTGGCAAATCGGCTTCCATGTCAACCTTGAGGCCTAGTTTTAACTTAGATGGCTCTCTAACATTCTCCCCAAATAGTCTAAGGATTGGTAAATTTATGTATAATTCAATGGATTTGCTTGATTCCTTGAGGAACTAGTATTTCCATGATCATCCATTTTCAAGGATGTGTGATGATGTTCTTGGGGAGCTACCAAAGTTCTCAAGGCCACGGAAACCAGGGTTCTTTCAAGATTTGGCTTTAATGATGGTTCTATTGGTGAAAAAAAGGTGATAAATCTAAAAATCTTTCTTCCCAAAACCATGTTCAAAGCAATAGGAATGGTGTCTCAATGAATCCTCAGTTTGTACATCAAAGGGAAGATAGGGCACGATACTTTTGTACTATGGCAGGCACTGGGAAAAGCCCATTGGGCCCTACAAGCACGGTTTATGGATCCTTTTGTAATTGGTTACAATGTTCTATGGGGATGGAGATCCATGGTTTTTAATCTTTCCATTCTACTTGTGTTGGTATTTTTACGTTAGAATGGCATAGAGAAATTGTGGAGCGTGTAGTAGCAACCAAGCAAATGTATGTCAAATTTTTTAAATTTGGACCTGGTGGTAATGTTTGCATTGTCATTGCAAGAGGGCTAGTCTCTTTCCCATAGATTCAATGTTTACTCTTACAAGCTATAAATGTCAAGGTAGTTTTGAATGAACATCCTCAAGATGGTGTGATAAGGAGTTATGTGAAAAACTTTCCTACTATACTCTTTCATGATGTTGGAATAGGCTGGTTTAGTCTTCATGTTATTATCAGTGAGTACTTATTCTTGAACTCGAGAAATTAAATCTTTGGATTTCAAGCTCAAGAGTCTAATGTTAGGTGGGGCTTGGGCTCAGATGTTTTGATGGGGAATTCTTTTATGTTTATATATACTAGGCTTGATTCATTAGTGGATGCTTAGTTTCCTTTTGGAATTTTGTGGACCCAAAACGTAATTAATTTGAGATCTTTGATAACAGTCTATAACTTCGATGGCTTTAAAGAAAGGCTGTGTTATGTTTGGGGGTTCCACGCTTTCAAACTGAAGTTAAATGAGCATAAAATCGGTGCCCTATATTCGAGAGCATTGTAGTTAAGCCTATGCTTTTGCTTTACATAAAATATTGCTAGCATGCCATGAAGTAATTGAAAGAATTCTCTATTTGAGCTACGAATTAAGTATCTTGGTATTTGCGGAGCTAAAGTTGTTGATGATTGTGACACAACCCATAAAATTTACACTCCTTGCATTATTGTCAAAGCTTATAATTTAGACATGCTAAAAATGTTTGAACTTATGCCTCTCAAAGAACAATTGCGTGGGGACGTAGGGCTTCACCATCAACTAAGAGACAGTGGAGATGTAGTAGAAGAAACTCGAGACGAGTTTTATTTTCAATCCAAAGAGTTTGATGCAAATGGCATCGACGCTCGGAAGAATTAGACTAATTAACATATTATTTATCTATTTTTTAAAATTTGATTTTAGGGATATGGGTGTTACTTCTTTATTGGTTGAATTTGTGACTTAAGGCATGCGAGATAAAAGGGTTTTTATTTTATTTAGGTTGGGCTTGGATGAATTTCTTATTTCCATGATCCTATTTTGGTAGGGATCGTTAGCTAATTGGAAAGAGAATGATGGTGAAAGTTGATCACGTCATGGATAAAGATACTTCCTTTAAAGGAGAATCTAGGGAAGAGAAGATAAGAAAGTATGAGAAATGAGGATTTACATGATTTAAAGATAGATAATCATGAGAAGTTACACGAGGAGGGAGAGAAATGTTTAATGAGAAAGAGAGAGAAAGGGAGAGTCATTGAGTTTTTTTATTGAGAAAATATCCCCGTACCTTTTATTTTTTGTTTTCATATCTCAATAGATCCAAAGATTCAAAATATATCTCTTAAGCCCCTGACTTACTTTATCCACTTTTAACTATGTTTTTAGCCCTAAAAAATATAAAAAAATATATGCTTATTCTAAACCGTTTATCTCTTTACGTGATATATTCCCCTCAATTTGTTTTTTCTCTCTCTCTCTTCAACATTCACCCTAACGGGGGAGAGAGAGTAAGAGACATGGGGGAGAGAGTGAAAAAATAGGTAGCGAGAGATTTCGAGGGAAAATCACGTAGAGAGAGAAATGATATGTCTTTCTTACATTTGTTTGAGGCAAAAAAATAGGTTTTAAGGGGATAAAGTTAGCTTAAAGGGTTAAAAGATATAAAACTTATAATTTTTATGACCCAAGATATGTTTTGAAACTTTGAGTCCATTGTGATATAAAACTTAAAAATGGGGGGTATGCAAATATTTTCCCTTTTTTATTTTGGTTTGTATTTAAAAAGTCTAACTTTCCATTTAGAAGGGGGACGGACTCGGATATTTAATAGAGAGTATTTATAAATAAATAAATAAATAAAAGGTTTTTTATTTCTATGACTTGATTTACAACCACTTTATTTTCTCTATAGTAGTTGATTTTGGTTGGTTTTAAGATCAAAAGAATGTCGAGTGATCCTAACATTGAATTAAGAGAGGTTTGACAGTGAGAAAGAGTTGTCCCAATTGTGACTTGAGAGAGAGAGAGAGCTGTTGATGAGAAAGATAAGGGCGGAAATGGGCTGGGTCTGGGCCTCAACCCTAGAAACTCTACTAGGATAGTGCCTTTGGTTAGGTGGCCTGGTCTGGCCTTGTGAATGACTTAGGGAGGGCCATGCCTATTTCAAAATATTCTTTTAATACAAAAAACCAAAAGGGAAAGGTCGGGCCTGGCCATGGCCATGGCTATTGGCATGACCTATCCACTGGGTTGGGAGTTTAGGCTTGGGCCTAGCTCTCCAGGCCGAAGCCCTAGCTATTCCGGACTGGGCCGAGCTACCAAATTCCCACCCTTAGAGGGTCACCCTAGCTGTGAGTTGAGCATGAGAGCGATTAGTTGAGAGAGAGAGAGAGAGACAAATGACGTGGAAATGAGAGTATCCTCTCATCCCTTAGAGTAGAGAGAGAGAGTCAAACCCAAACCACACCCCTCCCCTCCCCCACAAAAAACAAAAAAAAGGAAAAAAGGAAAAAAAAAAAGAAAAGAAAAAGAAGGTTCCCCCATTGAATAGGAATGGGGCCATTACAATAGGGGGAAAACCCCACAATCACAGAATGCTCATTCTCACAATAACTGATTGCCCCTTATCTGCAATCAAACACATCCTTGCAGTGCTCTGCTCTAAAAATGAAACAGGCCTATTATGACATGATACAGAATTCAATTGAAATGGTCTCTCAAAAAACACAACATCATTACAAAACGATTGGGGATTACGTTGACTAGGAAACAGTTCTATCATTTGGCTCTGGTATACTATTCAATTGTTCTTGTGGAGCATCCATTGTCTAACCAAAAAGCTTTTGCACCAACATTCAATCTCCCCCGCCAAACTCCTGATGTATGGTTGATGCTCAACTAGAACAAAGGGACTGTGTATTCCAAGCCAAAGCACACTCAAAAAATCATTTACAAATTCAAAGGAGTATGAGGATCATAACTGTGAAGACACAGAGAGGATATCAGAAGAAGAATTCTTCAAACTTTTCAAGTAGTGCACTGAAAATAGAGAAAGGGAAAGAGTTATCTCATCTTCAACAGAAGAAGCTCTCCATGAGCTCGTCTTTCTTCTTAAGGGGTGCAAGCAACTCTTGTACATGAGCCTAAACCCACCCAAAGCCAAAATCATGGACCTCAGTCGATCCACCGGGAACCTTGAGGACTCCCAATGTCTGTGAAATGTTACTTCCCATACATGCTCGCTAGCTCCCGCTTCACGCCATCTTTTGGACACACAACTTGCTCTACCCAATGATTTGGGATCAAGTTTCTTGAAAATCTCCTCTAGCAAATCCATGCTGTCATCTCCTATGAGCAGATCAAAGCTCCCATGGTCTTCCTCTGTGAACTTTGACCTCTTAATCTTCACCATTATTTAGAAGAAATCGTGGGACTCCTTCGGAAACTATTCAACTCTCCTGTTCTTCACCATTACTTCTCAGCGAGCTTTCTCGAAAACATAATGGTTCTGAGGAATTTAAAATCCCCAATTCATGGAGATTGGAGACTTTCAAGTTTTTGATCTCCCACTTTCATGGGTCATCTGCCTGTGCTGATCAATTGGGTCCTCATGGCTACCTAATTTTAGGGTATGGTGGATAGGTTGGGTAGTGGAAAATGGGGCATGGCAAAGAGGTTGGGTTGTAGATGAGTTCAAGAGAATCATTACAAAGATTGGCAGTGTCCCCAATTCATTGAAAGTTGAAGAGGCATCATGTGTCAATGTATGAGATAGGTGGGAGATGATTGAGTAATGGTGGGTAAGCAATCTTGGAAGCTTGTGGCAGCATAAGTCAAGAAAGGTGCTCAAGCATGCTAAAATCCACTGGTTTTTGGTGGGTTAAGAGGAAACAAGCAAATGCATTGAGATGGAGGGCATTCAAATACAAAACCTCACATAGAAATTCCCACCTGTCCTTTTCTACATTTTACTTTGTAGGAAATAGGAAGATGGGTCTCATTAAAGCACTATTTGTTTGTATTGAAAGGACAAAAGCAACCCGTCTTTGTCTTTGTTTTCCTTCAAAATGCATCAGTGCTGTTAATTCAATTCAACACTTAACACCGAAAGTTTCCAAAGGAGAATAAAAACATGTTTTCTTTACGTAAAGTCTTCTTTAAGAATCACCAAATTACGGAATCCGTACATTTCTTTGCTTTGTGGAAGTGCAAGGTGTATCTCCTGGTTTCTCTAAGTGCAGTGTCTTTGTTTTGAAAATCGGATCAGCCCCAAAATTGCTAGGATTTTGTGGTTTTATTCCCATTCAGCTGATCTGATTTGGGCGATTCTTGGCTTAGTATGGAATCAAGCGATTTTGATTCGGATCAGCTATTTCAAATACTAAAAGAAGATGTGCAACAAGAAATAAAGTCGCATATTTGGCTATTCACTTGTTGAATTATTCATCCTCGGCCTTTGATTCTTCCACCCACTAATTTGACCAACAACTGTTGGCTCGATTGTTTGTAATGATCAAAACTGCTCCCAATAAACCAATAAACCACACATTTCTGAGTAAATAAACATTTTGCTTGGCATCAGGAAACCCTTACCCAATAGACCTACAAACTTGATCCAAAAAATAAAAAAGGGACACCTTAGAACCCCAAAATCTTGTCCAACGTTTAAGGAGCACTCACAATCGAACCTATTCTTTTTTACAGTTAGAAAACTCCAAAAATCATAATGTTAGCCAATTTTCCCAGTACCTCTACCTATCTCTTAGACTTCCGCCTGAAAAAATTTTCGATCTCCTATTTCTTTTTTCCCATTATCTACTAAATGGCAAAAAAAAATAGAGGAATGGGGTTGAGTTCAAAGCAATAGCATCACTTGTAACTCTACTACCGGTCTCAGTTTCCATTCTTACCAGTACAAAACCCTATCGAAAAAAAAAAATATTAACCCCACTAGTGCAAAACCATTTTGAAAAAAATTGTTAACCCACTACTAACAGTCAACCTTAAAAAAAACTTTATTTTTTGCCACAGTCATACCTAGGCATGTAGATGCTCATCCCTTTTATTCACTGGAAAAAAAAAAAAACTTTTTATCCAGTGTTTCAGAAATATAACCAAAAACTTCAGATAAAAAAATTCTCCTAAATAGGTCATTGGCCTAAAGAGCAAATGATTTTTTTTTGGCTCCCATAGGACTACAATATTAGTTAGCTTTTACTGAGTCTTTGTGAATATGGCAAAGACATAAAAGACATAAATTAGTGGTTTTGTTGGGAAGCATATTGCGTCCACTTTACCCCAACTTCCTTAATTCCAAGGGGCAAATGTGTGTTTCTACGGGCTCCACCCTTTTGTCTTGAAACCCTAGAGTGGTTGATACCAGACAAAATTGAGAAATTGACAGGCTCCTTTGTTCCCATTGTTTCACATTACAAAACAAACACATAACTACATTTAAAATAAGGAACTGAGTTTTGTGGTTGCTCCTAAATCTTGATAACATATCTCATGATGTCATTCAAAACGTCTAGTTTCAAATAAACAAAAGAGATGGATGGTTTATATTGTGGAAGTTCTAGATCACGACCGTTGATTTGTCAACGGATTTAGAACATACTTGATTTCCTTCTTGCTTATGTAACACGCGTGAACCCACCCTGTTTGGGGTAAAGAGAAACTCAAGTTGATCTGAAAATGGTGCTTTTGTATTGGGTTCTTGTAAAAGATGTTTGGATAGAATTTGGATGAAATCTATGTTCTAAATTTCCAATATTTGGAATCAACTCTATGTAAAACCTGGATTTTGGCTAAAAATTTTTCTATCCAATTTGTATTAAGTTGTAAGGGTTTATTAATTTTTTGCCTTTTTCTTTTTACAATCTATTTATCTCCTTATTTTTATCCATGAAGATCTATTCAGTTTCTTAGTTGTTTATTCTTTTTCCTTCTATTGAAGATTTTTCTTCTTTCCCCTTGAACTTTTAGTAGTATTTCATCGAGAGAACGAAAAAAGGTCAATAAGGAGTCAAAAAAGAGGCTATGAAAAACCCTAACAAAAGAAATGGCAACTAAAGAAATAACACGACAAAAAGAAAACACGGGCAGGAGTTGCAGGTTTGACAAGGTCATCTGCCAATGAGCTAAGTTCCCTATTGACATGTTGAAAGAGAACCTCCTTGCCCAAGAGGGAAATAAGGATCTCATCCATGACTGTTTCCATGCCCACTGCGTGGATTGGGGCTCTTTACACCGCTTAATAACATTAGCAGAATCCCCGTCAACAGCCACCTTTTTTAACTGTGGATTTAACTTGAGAACTTCAAACTTTAAAGCCAAACTTTGCCTTATTAGTCCTACCTAAGACCAAACGCCCTTGATACGTCCATAGAATATCATCCTTATCATTTCTCAATAAACCATCATATCCTACCTGCTAACCAGCACCCCTTATGCTTCCATCAAAGTTGAGTTTCACTTAGTACGCCAGTGGAGAAATCCATTATTTGATTCCTTGACCTTTCGTTTTTTTTTTTTGTTTGAAGAAACGAGGGTCTCTTAGATTAGCTTCGAAAGTATTATTTGGGAATCTCTTTGAATTCAGTTGGTCGCCCTAGCCCACTAAACTATTAGCCTTTTTATCACATATTTGATCTGAGAGATATCCTAGACACTGCCTGGACAATTCTTCTGTTTCTCTCCTTCAAATTTGACAAATTATTGAGGCCATTGTTATCTTCACAATTCACTTCCATACTTTGTAAAGGCAAAAAGCTGGTTTACAAAAGCTGATAGGCAATTGATTCTGGTAGCACTTCTTCAATTGATTCGGTCCTTGTTGGTTCGGTGATCTAGGGCATATAGGTTTGAGGGGTTGGATAGGTTCAGGTCATGTAGGTTAGGTGGTATGAATCGGCTTGGTTGGGGGTATAGGCGAGTAGGAATGAAAGAGGATGGACCACAATATGGCAGAATTCCATCACCATCTCCTCTATGGGGGGTATGATCGACAAGAGAAAAGGTGCTCCACAATTAGCCAAAGCAACCGGAGGAGTCCGCTGGCGGGGTTCGACGTGGGTACTAAACTTGATCACGCACCACCTTGGAAGAGCCTTCGCCTTTCTTGAACTTAAAATTGGGTGTGTTTTATTCTTCAATCTTATGCAAATTTTACCTCAAATCAAAGCCCTCTGATATGCAGTTGCAATGGACCCATATTTGATGTGATCCGATGTCGGGGCTTCGAGATATAGCCGTTTGAATGAAGCGATGTTTTTCTTTAAAAATTCTACAACACATGAGTTTTTGGATGCAATTTTTTTTTTGAAATTCTTTCGTTTCGGGCATTGTCACGAGTTGTGCAATATATCAAAACGAGCGTCTTGATAAGCTCCGCAACATATCAAAATTTGAGTTTAATTGGCCTCAAGATGAGAGAGTTATGACCTTCATAAAGTAAGCCCAAAATTTAATGACATTATTTAAATGGAAACTGGTTTATAGAGGCTGCACCAAAATAGTGTAAAACGCACACATTTTTGGTAAGTTTTACCCATAATGGTTCAGAAAGATGCAAATGAGCCAAATATTGGTATTTGGGTTTTTTTTGGCTTTTTAGATCCAATTGTGGTGGTCTGATTCTTACCAGAAGCCTTAGTAATAAGGCCCTAATTATGAGGTGTTTTTTCAGCATGATAGGAATTGGCTTCACGAAGTAAATTTCATCATGATATGCCTTAGCCTTGTCCGATCGAGACAGAACTTTGTGGGTCTCCTTAGGGCATCAAGTGCTACCCTCATATGCTTTTTGAGGATGATCTGACACCTTTTCAAATTCACCCAAAATCGAGATTATTTATTCAGTGCTTCTGTAGGTGCAGGCATTTTTGGTACCCACAAGACCAGGTTACAAATGGCTCCTTCCTTATTTGTACGAGGGATAAAAATGCATCAAAAATACCATATAACAACGTTGTCGAAGAAATTTGAATGGTTTGATCCTTTCTATTTGTTGTTATTTGATGTCCAACACGTATGAAGCTTCCCCTAGATCCTTCAAATCAAATTGTCGTAAAAGGAACTCTTTTGATTCCAATTCAAGGGCCATCGAGCTACTAACTATTAGCATATCATCTATGGTTGGGTATTTGTGTATAGTAAAGACATTATGAGAGCATAAATCAATATTTTGATATAGCGGAACAAAAAAACTTAGTGGGAATATGGTCCGATTGGACCAAAATAGGTAAATACTAATTTTCGATATTCAGACTAGGCTTAACATGCTAGGTCAGTCGAGTTGGAAAACTCTTAATTACCTGAGCATAAAGTACATCCGAAAAGGGTTAGCAGGATTATGCTTTGATAAGGTTGGAGTTGCCCAGGGTAGTGAGCTAAAGGACTGTGTAACCTTTG